CGCGCCTCTCTCTTCAAAACACATCACCACCATTAAAAAAACTTAGGTGCGCCTTGTCCCGTAATCAAGGCCATCCGCAACCTTAAAGGGATATCCCCCATTATTACCAAAATACACAGTAGACACTTAGTATATTAACCAGGAATACATACGAACCATATACATGACATCCATAATTCATCATACATGAACATTACTCATAACCCATGTAATACGTTCTATGACACCATAACAGTTAATATTTTAAAGACACCTTTACATTAATGTGATAATGTTACATCATTAACATTCTACATTCACATTCTACATTAGAATCCAACCAAGCCATGTAATAATCAACAATAATATTGATCTGCCTGGATTGACACTATTATTGGACTATTATTACACTATTAAGAACTGAACTGAGCTGGACGATGACATCACGGATTACTCCAGAGCGGCTATATATATATATATTAGGGGTGGAACGGTACATGTATTCGTATTGAACCGAAACGGTACGGGCGTCACGGTTCGGTGCACGAATTTGCACGCAGAATACACGGTACAAATAAAAAAAACCTCTTAAATAGCGATGAATTTCGCTCTATTCGCTTTTGGTGTGACTGTGAACGCAGCAATGAACAGGCTGCGATCAAGATTGCAATGCAGGAGTGTGTGTGTGTGTCTGTGTGCGCGAGAGAGAGAGAGAGAGAGAGAGGCGCGATGAACAGTGTGTGTGTGTGCGAGAGAGAGAGAGGCGCGATCGAACAGTGTGTGTGTGTGTGTGTGCGCGCGTGCGAGAGAGAGAGGCGCGGTGTGTGTGTGTGTGTGTGTTCGCGCGCGCGAGAGAGAGAGGCGCGGGCGCGAATCGCGCGATGAACAGTGTGTGTGTGTGTGCGCGCGCGTGCGAGAGAGAGAGAGAGGCGCGGGCGCGAATCGCGCGATGAACAGTGTGTGTGTGTGTGTGTGTGTGTGTGTGTGTGTGTGTGTGTGTGTGTGTGTGTGTGTGTGTGAGTGTGAGTGTGTGTGAGAGAGGCACGGGCGATCGAACAGTGGAAACGTAAAAACATACTCCGTCATTTTTTTCATACAGGACATCATTAAAACTGCAAATTGTTTACTTATATTTGTGTAGACTCGCAATAAAACACAACATTGTGCTTTTGTCACACTCTAAACTCTTGTCAAACTGTAACCTACACCTGTTAACAAAAGTTTTTATGGTAGTATTATTTTATACGGAAATCAATTATTTATAATTCAGATGAGAATAAAGTTAGTTAATTAAAATGAAGGAAAACAAATATCTTGATCTGAAATAGCAAATTAATTTTAAATTCATTCAGGTACAATTACCAAACATATCTCAAGGTCTTTTCGTCTTTTTAATAATTTAATTAATAAACTAATTATATAAAACTACTGTCAGTGCACTACAAATAAACTGGTTCTATGCCTTTATTAATAAAACTTATTTAAAAAAAATTCAAGGCTTAAGACATTTATAAAAATGCCTTCTGCATTTTTGCTTTGCTTTTCACTCCCTTGTACCGAAATCGTACCGAACCGTGATGTCTGAACCGAGGTATGAACCGAACCGTGACTTCTGTGTACCGTTCCACCCCTAATATATATATATATATATATACAGAAATGAACTAAATTAATAACTTGTTTACAACAAAAATGAAACATCACTGAACTTACTTAAGCTGGACTGTGACGCTATTTTCTTCTGGAAACAAACTTTTTTGCATTATTTTTCTGGTACCACTGTAAAGCTGCTTTAAAACAATCTGTATTGTAAAAAGTGCCATATAAATAAATTTGACTTGACTTGACTGACAGTAAATGGATGCACTTTCCACTTCTGAAGTACTAAACACACTTAATGCGTCCAGTGTAGACAGCCTCGCACTGGGTAGACACGATAAACATGGCACAAATTTTTTTTTAAAGGGGGCGTGACCAAAAAAGTTTGAGAACCACTGATATAGAGGATGCATATTTATCTGCTTGATATTATCAGGTTCCCCAAGAGGTGAAGGATGCCTATATTGGGTCCTTCTGTCAGTTTAGCTTTGTTTCCTCACTGGCACAAATTGTATGCATCTGCATACTGAATTATATCATTGACTAGCTGATGTTAGCTCAGTGTGATCGTTCGCCACCGTTCGCTCTCATATAGGGCTAGGCGATATGGCAAATTCATTATAATAATGCTACCAGCTTGAAGAGTATCCTGACAATGACTGAAGCCTGGAGAAACTAGAGGGTTTATTAATTAAATTTTAGAATATACTTTATTAACAAAAATAGAACAACATAACAAATTTTTAACTGTGCAAGCAGACAAATCATTTTGGATTACTGACATATGACTTCCAAGCTCTCTCTCTCTCTCTCTCTCTCTCTCTCTCTCTCTCTCTCTCTCTCTCTCTCTCTCTCTCTCTCTCTCTCTCTCTCTCTCTCTCTCTCTCTCTCTCTCTCTCTCTCTCTCTCTCTCTCTCTCTCTCTCTCTCTCTCTCGGTCAGGACCTTTTTTCAAAAATGCATAAATCAGTTCTGGTAAAGACAAGTTGTAATACTAATACTATATTAATAGTAAATTACCGTTATGGTACTATGTGTGAACAAAACATAAGATTTCATATGAGCACGTATGAGGTGAGGATGCACTGACAAGATTATTCAGTGCTGTTTACAGCAAGCTGCACTAATTTTTAATTGTTTTTCTTTCACTATGCTGTAGCTTTGACTGTTGTGCCGCATTAAAATTATGCGGTGTCTTGTGTGCAAAATGTATTCTGTGTGATCATCCCCTTATGCCTGTCAGAAAGTAAAACTGGACAGATAGTAAAACTAAAGCGCTTCTCATCCTGGCAGATAAAGAAAATAGCGCAGCATTTATAGATAATTTCGATGATTGACATTACAGAGTTTTTAACTGATATTTCGGTACAGATGTGTGAATGGTAAAAAGACAGAACCCAGTTGCTTTTGTGAACAGTATAGCCTATATGATGCATTTACCGGAAAAGTCAATCTGGTAATTTTATGGTAATTTACCGGGTTTAATGTGTGAAAGGGGCTAGTGATTAGCTTGGGAGAATATTCAGTTCAGTCCTATCAGTCCATGCTTAGAAAATGGGAATGGCAACATTAGAAATGGTAAACACAGAGCCGGCCGAGCCACTAAGCGACCGTTGCAATTGCAAAGGGCCCTGTGGCCAGCAGAGGGCCCCCTGGAGTCACTGCTAGCTAGTGGGGGGAAAAAATCGCACAACGAAAGTAACATAAAATAAATAAATAAAAAGAAATGGACCTACAGCGCTTTTTATCAGGCATCATGATAAGCACAGAGGTGTTATTTATTTAGTTCTGTATTATGGCAAATCAACCGGGAGCTCCCCGCGAAGGCGCGCGCGTTTTGATCCCGACTGCCCCTATGATGTCAGTCAGTTAGCGACTCCGACGAATCGACGATGTCTGACAAGAAACGAAAATATCTTTCTGGCCAAGAAAAATGACAAAAAAGAGCCTGGAAGAAGAGAAGAAGCAAGAAGATAAAGGTACGTAAGCCTGTAGGCTTAATTTTCCGATTTCTGTAATATGGATAATCTGCACTAAAAGTCTTAACATTAGCCTAAATCGTGCTTGTATTAATTTTCTACAGTTGTTTAACTTACATGCTAATAACATGCTGCATAAAATTGGTTTAGTATTAGGCCTATACCATTTGCTGTGGTGTTACTGTTAAAGCATTTAACAGAACAATATAAACCCAGTTTGGATTCTACACTAAAGGGCTAACATTAGTTTACTCCTTATGTCCCCTTAGGAGCACTATTAAAGTAACGTTATATGCTGCCAGTAAGCAAAGCTCCAGCTGTTGGTGAGTATAAAGGGGCTGTAAAATGATAACCTTCTGCATTTTAAAAATTAAGTCTAACTTTATGTATAATTATTTTCTTTATTTGGATTGGATTTTAATAGTTATTTTGAAATGTTACCTTATTCTTAATATTGTTACTATTGATCTTCTTTGTGGTGTTTTAGATGTTATTGTTAATTTTGTTTATTTGAAAAATCTATTTATTATTTTATATAATATTATATTTAAATGTTATTCTATTTGCTCTATTTAATTTAAATTTTATATATATATATATATATATATATATATATATATATATATATATGTGTGCTGTAGTTTGTGACTCTTAAACTCTGGTGTCAATAAAAATGTATCTTTGTTCAGTGATAATCACTTTATCTGTCTTTTTATTCAGCAAGTTAATCAGTGTGTGTGTGTGTCTTGCACTGCCATTCAGCTCAGTGGTATCATAATTTTCCTGTTAGACATCAAACATAGTATATAAAGTATAATATAGTTATATAGTATGGTATAGTTATAAGGTAGTCATTGCTTTTCTTTAGGCCTTAAAACGGTCAAAGGGGCCTCCAACCAAATTTTGCTTAGGGCCCCCAAAGGTCTAGGGCCGGCTTTGGGTAAACATTATTTCTGATAAACAACTCTACAGGTTACATGCTGTAATTCACATTTTAAATTTACGCATAGTGTTATAAGTCGGATATCATTCACTCAATGCACTCTATTGAGTAGTTTTAATAAACAACTTTTATTTCAGTAGTTTTAGGACAGCTTGAGTCCTAATACTACATTTATACTACTCTGACATTGTTTCTTTATATTGTTTCTTCTCATATAAGTTATATTAGATTTAATTTAATATAATTTAAGTTGAAATGACTTGTACAACCGTGTTGATTATACTTGAAAAATGTTTTAGGGTGCACCCTTGAGTAAATGTTTTTTGGGAAGTAGCAGTATTTTAGCATGGTTTTTCTTTCAGTACTCTTTAGACCTATATATTATAACATTGTAACAAATTTTTTTCATGAATTTTAAATAGCGAAGCAAAACATTAATTCCTGCTCTAGATCTTTATTTAAAAATCATCAGATGGTTAAGTGTCTGATTTTTTTATGCAGGTTAGGAAAAGATGGAAAGAAAGATGATAGAAAAGGAGACAAGAGAAAAGGTAAGACTGGTGAAATGCTATGCAGTCCTTAGATAATCACCTATTATCTAATATTAATGATACTGTTTAGTACATTTGTATTTTACTTTTTCAATTCTTCAAATAAAGAAGTTTCTGCAGAGTCCAGACTGCATAAGTTGCATGGGGAGATTAAAACATCTTTAAAGATCGATAACCTTGTAAGTACAGAGTTAAGAAAATTTTCATTCTTGCATATAGCTTTTAAACCTTATTTGTTTAATGACATCAGTTGACATTTGAAGTTCTTAGAACAATTTGCTCATAATCTATAGACCCCTTTTCAGTTAGTAAACATGGTGACGTTTTTTTGTGGGCGGAGCTTAGGTGGAGGCAGAACGATCCCTCTGGCCGCTTCCCTAACGTTAGTTTGCAAGTTTTGTTAGCTTGTTTTTTAACAATGACTGGAGAAAATCCGATTTTATCTTAATGTGCAAGGTCACTCAGTGCCCAGGACCGCGATTGTTATTTGCAAAAGTTAATTTTAACGGACGGAACGAAATTGGCTGACCCGTACACACTCACTCAATGCATGGACAATCTGACAGGATTAACGTCAGCGTTACCTCCGGTTGAGTGGCCTGACTTCTACACCTATCCGATAGAGAAACCGAGCGTACTGAGGGCATATAAATCTTTAGATGCCTATAACTATGTGCTGAATGGTCATGTACAAGACTTCTGCCTAGCCAGCGCCGAGAAGACGACAATGTAAAGAGTGACATTACGGTGCAATTTTAATGATGTGAATATTTTCTAGAAATAAAAATTCCAGATACAGCATATTCATTTTTCAGTGGTTCTTGCACCCAACAACACAACAAGATGACATTTAATAATAATAATAATAATAATTTAAGCTCCTTATTATGTAGCCGAATCTGTGCTGGTTTGTATTAGCCACCTCCAGTTGTCCGTTTGTTTTGCCTCCAGCTAGCACTGTGACGTAATTGTGACGTCGGTGCAAAAGGGGTCTATTTGAACTTAATGTATTAACCTTGTTGTTGATTTTTAATTCTGGGCATGTAAGTAAATGCACACTCTCTCTTTTCTTAGGATGTGAGGAAATGTTTAGTTGCATTGGATGAGTTGAGTTCACTGCATATTACTACTCAACATCTTCAGAGACACTGTGAACTCATAACTACTCTTAAAAAGGTATGATTACATTTTTTTAGGTCAGCATTGGACAGTTGTCATGTTTATTAATTACTATTGCACACCACTTGCAACAAAAACAACAAACTTAAAAAAAAAAGTTAACTAAAACGAATCATACCTTTATACTTTCTTTAAAGGTCCGCAGGTTCAAAGCCAGCCAGGATGTGATGGACAAAGCCACAATGCTGTATAATAAGTTTAAAAGCATGTTTTTAATGGGAGAAGGAGAGTCAGTGCTCAGTCAAGTGCTCAATAAAAGTCTGACTGAACAGAGACAGTTTGAAGAGGCCAAGAGGGGAGTGCTAAAACACACAGAACAGACCAAAGAGCAGAAAGGTAATTAACTGACTGCTACATGGTTGATTTACAGCTTTCGTTTACATTCCATTATAATTGATGTAATTGTAATGTAATTGATGTAATTGTAATGTAATTGATTTACATCAATTACATTTCATGCCGAACTATTACATTGATAATAAAAACAACAACAAAAAGCGCAAGTACTAGACTGCAAATAATAAGAAAAATTCTAATGTAAAGCAGCATTCTGTGGAGATTTGTGCTGGGGAAACGGGGCAAAATACATTTATACTATTATATAACCATTTGTATGTTTTTGGAATATGAATATTATATATATATATATATATATATATATATATATATATATATATATATATATATATACAGTGGTTAAAGTGGGATTTGGCAGGTGGGGGAACCCTCAAATTTTGTGTAGGTGCAACAAGGAAAAATGACTCACCGTGGGACAACATATTGAGTATCGTGGTATAGCAATACTTTTTGGGTCAAGAGTGTCGCTGTGGCACCAAGTATCACTTATTTACTTGATATTTTAATGGTTTTATTTTGGCCCATCTACACTGATATGATGACGATACTATGTTAAAATTGCTTAACACTGGGACAAAAATTGAGCCCTGGCACTGTAGCCACGCCAGCCCACATTATCATCCCCAGCCCCACCCACAGACATGTGCATTAAAATGTGAGGTATTTAGGGGGGTTTGGGGGCATGTTCCCCCTAGAAAATTGATTTCTCTGACCTACATATGTGCAATTTAAGACTTTTGAAGGCCAAAAAAAAGGATAATAATAGCTTTAAAACCATGTCAGTGGGCATTAGATTATTTTGTCAATACCTGCTCTCTCCTCATCTACATCTTTCTTTTTCTCTCAGTCTCCTAATCCTGCCCTATTTCTTCCCCTCCTAAAGCTAAACTTTGACTGATAGTCTTTTCATTTTCGTCTGTGTCAGTGAAGAAAGTAAACATAGGCTTAACTGATATTTATGTTTTATGAATCATTTTCTTAAACAAGTTAATTTACTCAAGGCTACCAGGTCAGTATTGCCACCTTCAACAAGCTTTGGAATTTGAAAAGTAATTTTAAATAATACAAATTATAGGCTACGTTTAACGCAGTTGGTGGAATTGGCAGACGTTCCCTCATGCGCTGTGCAAACGCGTCAAAGCATTCTCAGGTATAAATATGCAGCATTAATGCACGTAGGTGATTTTGAACGAATATTTAATGTCGATATACAATGGTTACATAAAGTTAAAACTAATCCTGCTATTGATCTCTTTGTAAGACCCTATAGAACAGTGGCTAGGGAAAACAAATGTCAGGCGAAATATATCGAACCTTAAACTAACTTTACCGCGCTCAACCACCGTAAGTGCATTTCACGCATTTGTAATCGCTCGTGTTCAGCGGGGAGGAAGGGAGGTTGGTCGGTCGGTCGGTCGGCCCATATCGGGACCAGCGAGATTCGTTGAGATTAATGAATCTATTTATTTATTAATTTATCTGAGGTGCCGGAACACCTGTTCAATTTCAATTTCTCATTAATGCAATTATCTAATCAACCAATCACATGGCAGTTGCTTCAATGCATTTAGGGGTGTGGTCCTGGTCAAGACAATCTCCTGAACTCCAAACTGAATGTCAGAATGGGAAAGAAAGGTGATTTAAGCAATTTTGAGCGGGGTATGGTTGTTGGTGCCAGACGGGCCGGTCTGAGTATTTCACAATCTGCTCAGTTACTGGGATTTTCACGCATAACCATTTCTAGGGTTTACAAAGAATGGTGTGAAAAGGGAAAAACGTCCAGTATGCGGCAGTCCTGTGGGCGAAAATGCCTTGTTGATGCTAGAGGTCAGAGGAGAATGGGCCGACTGATTCAAGCTGATAGAAGAGCAACTTTGACTGAAATAACCACTCGTTACAACCGAGCAAAGCAAAGCATTTGTGAAGCCACAACACGCACAACCTCGAGGCGGATGGGCTACAACAGCAGAAGACTACCACTCATCTCCACTACAAATAGGAAAAAGAGGCTACAATTTGCAAGAGCTCACCAAAATTGGACAGTTGAAGACTGGAAAAATGTTGCCTGGTCTGATTAGTCTCGATTTCTGTTGAGACATTCAGATGGTAGAGTCAGAATTTGGCGTAAACAGAATGAGAACATGGATCCATCATGCCTTGTTACCACTGTGCAGGCTGGTGGTGGTGGTGTAATGGTGTGGGGGATGTTTTCTTGGCACACTTTAGGCCCCTTAGTGCCAATTGGGCATCGTTTAAATGCCACGGCCTACCTGAGCATTGTTTCTGACAATGTCCATCCCTTTATGGCCACCATGTACCCATCCTCTGATGGCTACTTCCAGCAGGATAATGCACCAGTCACAAAGCTCGAATAATTTCAAATTGGTTTCTTGAACATGAGTTCACTGTACAAAAATGCCCCCCACAGTCACCAGATCTCAACCCAATAGAGCATCTTTGGGATGTGGTGGAACGGGAGCTTCGTGCCCTGGATGTGCATCCCACAAATCTCCATCAACTGCAAGATGCTATCCTATCAATATGGGCCAACATTTCTAAAGAATGCTTTCAGCACCTTGTTGAATCAATGCCACGTAGAATTAGGGCAGTTCTGAAGGCGAAAGGGGGTCAAACACAGTATTAGTATGGTGTTCCTAATAATCCTTTAGGTGAGTGTATATAGTCATGTGAAAAAGATAGGACACCCCATGAAAACCTTTGTCTTTTTCAACATATGGACATTGGATCTTCATTTTAACAATATTGAGAGATGGAGGTAATATAAATAATAATACTAAAAACGAATAAAACTGAAGAAATATATTTTTTTAATTATTTGTAAAATTTCCTTAATAGAAATGAAATATTTGGTGAGGAAAAAGATAGGACACCTCCACATTTATTTACTACTTATAATGCATAAAATTAGAATCAGGTGTGCCACATCAGGTGCAAAAGATTAGAACATTGTTAGAGATGATTGTGGAGGAGCCTGTCTTATTTAAACCTCAGTTTGGTTTGCTCTTGATTGTAGAAGTGAGTGAAATCACCATGGTGAGATCAAAAGAGCTCTCTGAGGCCTTCAGAAAGAAGGTTGTAGATACATATGAGTCTGGGAAGAGATTTTAAAAAATCTCCTAAATATTCAAAATCAGCCATTCCACTGTCCGTATTTTTTTTTTACAAGTGGAGAACATTTTAAACAACTGCCAACATGCCCAAGTCAGCCCGTCCTAGCAGGTTCAGCCCAAGAGCAGACTGCAAGATGCTTAAAGAAGTCTCCAACAATCCTAAAATATAATCTCGGGACCTACAGGTAACACTTGCCACAGTTGATGTCAAAGTACATGCGTCTACCATAAGAAAGAGACTGCACAAGTTTGATTTGCATGCGAGGTGTGCAAGGAGGAAACCCTTGCTGTCAAAAAAACTCATTAGGGCAAGACTAAAGTTTGACAGAGAACACCTAGACAAAGACCAGGACTTCTGGAACAATGTGCTTTGGACAGATGAATCCAAAGTTAAATTGTTTGGGCCCAGTAGCAGAAGACATGTGTGGTGCAAACCAAAGACAGCAGTTGAGCTGTCAAAAAAGCTCAACTTGCACAGTTGGAACCTCATACCAACTGTGAAGCATGGGGGTGGAAATGTCACGGTTTGGGGCTGCTTTGCTGTAGCAGGGCTTGGCCAACTCACTATCATAGATTCCACTATGAATTCTTCATTGTATCAGAGGGTACTTGAGGAAAATATTCAACCATCTGTCCGAAAATTGAAGCTGAAGCGGATGTGGATAATGTTACATGACAATGACCCAAAACCAGGGGCGTCAAACAAGGGGTAATAGTGGAACTGAGTAACAGGGGCCCTCGGTGAGGGGGGGCCCACAAAAATGGTGATGCTTGGGAGAGAAAAGTGCAACTTATTACTTATACCTTAATTAAATTGTGCAAATGTGACGATACCAGTCTTTCTGCACGGTTTTACTGAGTACAGTATTTAGATAGACTCATTAGTACTTAATTAGATGCACGCAGATAGACGGCTGCATTCAAACGGTCCACATTTACAAGTGTTCCTGTTTGCAGCGCTGAGAACTGTAGCCAATCACAGAGAAGTCTGTTGAACACTGTAGCCAATCACAGAGAAGTCTGTTGAGCATGTGAGTGTAGCGACAAACCAGAATTCCCATCCGCTCAAAATTGAAAAATATTTGAAGGCTACATTTTAATGTAGCTATTATTTACATTTATATTATTAATGCTAATAATTCACTTATATCATTTTTTTATATAATAAATAAAAGTTAAATAGCAAGAACTTTTAAAACAGATTAATTTTAACTGTTATTGCAATTGGTACACTGAATTTAACATTGTGAAAATAAAAAAAATAATAGTAGATAGAATAATAGTGATATTACACAAATAAAGCAGTGTTGTAAGGGGCCCATCCCTTGGTTCTGTGACCAACATTTGGTGCTACACCCCTGCCCAAAACATTCCAGTAAATCCACCAAGGAATGTCTCAAAAGAAAGAAATGGAGAGTTCTGGAATGTTCAAGTCAAATCCCGGCTTGTAATCCTATTGAGATGCTGTAGGGTGATTTCATTTGAAACGGGCTGTGCATGCAAGAAAATCCTCAAACATCACACAGCTGAAAATATTCTGTATGGAGTGGGAAAAACTTTCTCCCAGTCGATGTCAGACACTTGTAGACCGTTATAGGAAACGTCTTATTGAGGTTATTTCGGATCTGTGCATTAACCCTCTGGGGTCTGAGGTGTTTTCTGGTTCCTGGAGGTGTTCTGACATGCTCTGCCATTTGTGCTTTTTTCTGATACTTGTGACATTTTCATGGCTAAAGTCTGATTACACTGTATTATGTAATTAGTAATTATTGTATTAGTAAAATGTCAGCAGCATGTATGTAAAAGTTTTTAGTTTTGAGATGACGTTTATGCATGGTTTGTGAAAAA